GAACTTTGTTTGGTGCCCGAGGAGGCTAAGTAAAGTGGCATTGTCACACAGTGTATGATGAAGTGCCTCACAGTAAGTGATAGGTGATGTGTAAAATAATCTTAGGAGAACAGACAAGGGCCCACATGTGGTCAGGGAAGGCTTTAAGACTGGGCGTTGAAGCTTTAGAAACAGAGCCTAGAGCTAGATCTGGTCAGAAAGAGGAAAATGACAAGCTAACCTTAAGCTTGAGGAAAGAATAATGATAAAGGTCCAGAGTTCAGGAGGAGCCCCATTGTGGGTTCAGGCTACAGTGTGAAACTGAGCTTAAGAGAGTTGGATACTCAGCCGTCATCTTTTTTTCTCCCCCTCTTTATTTCACCTCCAAAATACTCTAACTCATTGTAACATGGCTTCCTCTCCCTCTACTTCACTTACGGTTTTCTTGGAGGTCATCAATGACAACCCTCCCACAGTGGTCAACTATATTTGTCTTAACTTGCGGAATTCATCCTAGGCATTGAACACTGTTGACCGGAGACTACTTTTTCGACCTCATTTCCAAATGCTTTCTATTTCCAAAGGTTATTGAAAAGCGTTGGCGTATATGCAAAACTGGACTTAAATTCCTATTCCACCACACCTGGTGCTGTAAGCGCGTTTATTCATGCATCCATCCAACTAACGTTTGGGAAACTCATTGCAGTTGAGTCGATTCTGACTCATAGTGACCCTGTAGGGAGTATCTCTTATATACTAGGAGCCCCAGTGGCACAGTGGTTAAGAGCAATGGCTGCTAATTAAAAAGTCGGTGGTATGAATCCACCAGCTGCTCCTTGGAAATCTATGGGGCAGTTCTATTCCGTCCTGTAGGGTCGCTATGAGTTGGAGTTGACTCAGTGGCAGTGGGTTTGGTCTTTTTTTGGGGGGTTTGAGCCTCAGTTTAATGGAAATAAGAATACCTAACTCATAATGTGGTTGTAAGAATTAAAACAGATGACACATGGGATATATGTTGAAATAAATGACATAGTGGGCAGCCATAAAGGTTAGTTCCGTTTCCCTACCTGATATCCACTCATCCTCCTTGCTGTACCCTGAATGTGTCTGCCCTTTTCACTTCTACATCTTTGCTTAGGTATTCCTTCTCTAGTTAATGTCCTCACTCTCCTCTTTACCTACCGAAATCCTACCTGCCTTGAAAAGTTTACATTATCACCTCAATCAGAATTGAATTTGGAATCTTTTAGATTCTTAGTATTATTCATTGGATATGTGTCATGGATTGAATTGTGTCCCCTAAAATTATCTGTCAACTTGGCTAGGTCATGATTCTCCCAGTATTGTATGATTGTCTATCATTTTATCATCTGATGTGATTTCCCTATGTGTTGTAAATTGTATCACTATGATGTAATAAGATGGGTTAGTGGCAGTTACACTGATGAGATCTACAAGATTAGATAGTGTCTTAAGGCAGTCTCTTTTGAGATATAAAAGAGAGATGAACAGAGAGACACGGGGACCTCATACCACCAAGAAAGAAACAGCGGGAGCAGAGCACGTCCTTTGGACCCGAGGTTCCTGTGCAGAGAAGCTCCTAGTCCTGGGGAAGACTGATGACGACGAGGACCTTGTTCCAGAGCTGACAGGGAGAGAAAGCCTTCCCCTGGAACTGACGCCCTGAATTTGGACTTCTAGCTTACTAGACTGTGAGAAAATAAATTTCTCTTTGTTAAAGCCATCCACTTGTGTTGTTTCTGCTAGAGCAGCACTAGATGACTAAGACAGATGACTTCAAGTTACTACCCTACATTTTAGCTCTTTGCACACATCTTATTTTCCCTGACTAGATAGTAAACTCCTTGAGGGGTAAACAATTTCTTTTATAAAGATCGGCACAAAGCTAGTTCCTGTGAGGCGAGGTTAAAGATGTCCCAAATGTCCAGCTTTTCCAAGCTGCTGTACCACTCCATCATCTCTAACATCAACTACTCCCTCTCTCTTCAGCACTGTCCCTCCCGTCTTTGGGTTCCCTAATTTGCTGCAACGTCTCACAGAACTCCTGAACTGAACCATGTAAAGGAAATGGCTCATGCAGTTGAGGCTGGCAAGTCCCAAATTCATGGGTCAGGTGTAGGGTTCTCCTTGGCCCTCAGTCTCTGCCCAAAGGCGTTCAGCTTTCTCACTGCTTGGGCTGGGAAGCCCACTCTCTCATCTCCTGTGGGTCTCTCCTGCTGGTCTCTTCTGTTGGTCTCTCCTCTGGTCTCTCCTTCCTTGGTGGTGGTGGACTCTTCTCTTTCCCTTCTCTGGGGTGGCTCATTTCAAGGCCAGTAGGATGGCAAAACTGACCAGTCCCCTTAGGAGACCACATTTACCCTGTTGTATGTCATACAGTCCCGCCTAATCACCTGGGTAGGAGTTATAAGACCATAGCTAGAAAAGCCACACAAAAAGCAATCCATTACACTGCAAGGGATGAGCCCATGTCAGGGATGGGGAAGTAAATCAGTAAGAGTTGAGACTGTATCCCCCATTGTTTCCATACAGGGCCTTTTGCATAGTTGTCACTCTTCCAGGGTGATCTCATCATTGTTCATTTTTTCTTTCTTTTTTTTTTTCCTTAACCACAACCATATGCTGAATTTATTTCTAAATCTTTTTCTCAAGCCCTCACTGCTTGCCTGTTCTTTTCACGTTTGTAATCAAATGTCTGGTGAATGTCTCCAGCTGACTATTCCACAGGCACCTCGAAGGCAACATATCCAAAACTGATCTCTCATCTCCTTCTGCTCACCTCACCCCATCCTCTTCCACACGCAGTCTGCCCTCTTCATGTATACTGTATCCTATTTGTGGTAGCAAAATCTACCCAGTCCCTGAAGCAGAAACTTGTAGGGCATTCTTCATTCCTTCCTTTCTCGTATTGACTACATTTGATGAGTTTCCAAATCTTGACTCTCTTCTCTCTTAAATATTTCTTGAATTCATCCGTGCTCTTTCTAGCTCAACTATTGCTGCCTAAGATTGGACCCTTTCCTCTCAACTAATTTTAACCTAAAATCTTTCTAATGAGTCTACCACATCCTATCTTAATCCTCTCAAATCCATTCTCCACAGTCCAAGTATGACACACTCCATTATGTAAAACCCATTGGTGGCTTCTTTTCATGTACATCAGAGATGGGAAAATAAGTTTTATCTCGTGAACCAGCTGTCATCAATTTGGTCATGGCTGCTGCTAGTGCCGCCTTTGGGTTCAGAATGATCACTTAGTGATGTCTCACATAGGTGAAGTGAAGGAGCGGGCAGCACATAATGCATAGATAACATCCTGGAATAAAGTTCAAGCTGCTTAGCATACACATCTTCAAGGTCTTCCTTAGCGTGTAAGGTCTTCCATGATCCTGATCCTGCCCAAATCTTCATCCTCAGCTCCCACAGTTGCCGCATTTCACACTTTATCCTGGAGCATCAGGAAAATATTTTGTCTTTTTGCTTTTGTTCATCTGGGCCTGTTCCCCTTTCCCCTTTACCTGGGAAGCTCATACTCAGCCTTCGGACCTGTGGGGAGTACATAGGGTGGGCTCTTCATGAGGCTAACTGCTCTTCCTATAGGTCAAGTGGCTCCTTGTGCCTCCTCCATAGCTGTACATGTCCCGTAGTCTTGAAATCCTAAATTTTTCTCTAACAGTAAAATCCAGTAGGTTAGAAATTATGTCTCATTTATCTCATTTATCAGAATGAAACACTGCCCAGTCCTGTGCCATCCTCACAGTTATTGCTGTGTTTGAGCCCCTTGTTGCAGCCACTGTGTCAATCCATCTCATTGAGGGTCTTCCTCTTTTTCTCTGACCTTCCACTTTACCAGACTTGATGTTCTTCAGGGACTGGTCTCTCTCAATAAAATGTCCTAAGTTAGTGAGACGAAGTCTCGCCATCCTTGCATCTAAGGAGAATTCTGGCTGTATTTCTTCCAAGACAGATTTGTTCTTCTTCTGTTAGTCCGTGGTATATTCAATATTCTTCGCCAACACCATAATTCAAATGCGTTAATTCTTCAGTCTTCCTTATTTATTGTCTAACTTTCACATGCATATGAAACACTTGAAAATATCATGGTTTGGGTCAGGTGTACTTTAGTCCTCAAAGTGACATCTTTTAAAAGTGATCACACTTTTATGTAATATATATTATTGAACTGAGTTATTAATTGAAATGAATTAATGATTTTGATTGAATATATTTTTCTTTAGTCATTAGGGTAACAGGATAGATTTTAGGAAGTGTTACTATTCTGCAGAAAATTTAGATTGTTGAATCAGTAAGTAGACATTGAAAACTTTTGAGCAGGAGAATGACATGACAAAAGTGGTATTTGAGGAAGATGATTTGGTGACAGCCTTTTATTCTAGGTTTAAATAGTTCCTGGGAGACATAACTGAGGGTCACAGATGTGGGGAGAGGGAGAGACAAGCATATAAAGCCTCCTGTGCTTTCATTTCCACATTTGCTCAAGTGAGATGTACTAGCTGGCATGTTTCCGAAAATAAAATAGAATGCTGGTGTTATTTTTATTTTCAAAGAAAGAACATTCTTGTAAACCACTGCATGGACCATATTCTTATAATTATATGCGAAACATATTCGTTATTAACTACTTGAAAAGAATGATTATAAGTTCAAAATTTTTTAACTAATTAGCATCTGAAAATCTAGCCTAAAATCTTCCAAAGTTAGTGAAGGTTTTCATTTTGGCACATTTTGAAATAATTGTTAATTGTGAGAAGAATACTTCAGTGTCTTTTTCTATCAGCCCTTTACTTTATAGTTTAACACTGGCATTTTAATTATAGTTTTTTTCTTGGGCATTTGTACTTTGTATATGACTCATGTGACAGGGATTCCTGGTTAAAGTTTATCTTCCATTTGTTGTGGGCCATGTAGTTCCACTCTGGTTTATTCTTCATATTGGCCATTATAAATGTCTCCATTTACGGTCCTTTTGTTTTTTATTATAGGGTTATGACGCTTTGATTTAAAAGGACTTTTCCAAATACTTACTTTGCACTTTTGATTGTGTATTATGGATACCAAGGAAGAGAAGAAGGAACGGAAACAAAGTTATTTTGCTCGGTAAGCATTCACTTTGCAAAATTATATCAGTGCTTTAAGAAAAATGTTTGAAAGGACTTTGTTCTCAAGTATTACTTGGCATTTTACGTTTTGTGAGTGTTCATATACTGAGCAGGTAACCAGTAGGACTTAAATATCTCTTATTTCGGTCTTTTTCTTATTTATATTAGAGGAATAACAATTGGTTCTTCTGTTTCTATCTTTTGACAGTTTTCTCAGACCGGTGCTGCTCAGAGAATCTAGCTGTCATTATACACTGAACTGTATAATGAATCCCAGCTTTAGTAACATAGATTGAATTTTAAATCCTAAGTGCTTATCTCCTACTGCTCTGTAGCTTAACTGGTTGAGCTGCAACTAAAAATCTATGACATTATCTAAAGCTTATCACCTGTGGGGAGCCTATTACTAAAAACTATTTTTGTAGGTAGATAGATGAAATTCTGTTATGGGAAACCTTGTATTTATTAAGGCTTGAATTCTTCCAACATATATACATTTGATGGTATCTGAATAGAAGTAATCTAGCATGTAATTGTTTACTATTTACAGCCACTCACTAATCAGAATAAAATGAATGATATGCTGAAGATTTGTAAATCGTTTGGATAGCCCAGAATCTTTTCAAACTCAGAGTGAGAACATAGGCTGGAAAATGATCATTACGATCTCTTAAATTGAAATGCTTAAGAACTGAATTCAGCCTCACCCCCCCACCAAACCCCACTCTATGCTCCTTAAAGATATATTTCCTTTTTTCCAAATGTAAGCCTTGGAGTCTAAGATCAAATTTTTTCTTTTTTTTTCCCAGTTAACTTTTTTTTTCCATTTTTTTAAATGAAGTTTACATTTCAAGTTAGTCTCCCATACAGAATTTTATTTTTTTTTACGTACATCGTTATGAGACCCCAACCGCTCACCCCATTCTGCAACAGCACGCTCCTCTCCACCGCCCCTGATTCCCCATGAACATTCAACCAGCTCCTAACCCTCTCTGCCTTCCCATCTCACCTCTGGACAGAAGCTGCCCCTTTGGTCTCTTGTATCTACTTGTCTAAGAGGCACATTCTTCACAAGTATCACTTTATGTCCCACAGTCCAGTCCAATCCCTGTCTGAAGAGTT